TGTTTAATGGGTTGGGCTCTGGCTTGAGTGACAGGGAAGGGAAAGATGAGTTTAGCACTGAGCATGCCTTCATCCTCTTTCTGTTCTTGACTGTGGATGTGAATAGCTGCTTCAAGTTTCTGCCATGACTTCCCTGGCAGTGATGGATGTTGATCTAGAGTCATGATGTATAGAAATCCCTTTTCTCCCCAAAGTTGCTTCTGTCCAGATTTTATCACAGCAACAGGAAAGAAAAACTAGGACATCTAGCATGAATACTTGTCTTTTTCTTCCAGTTTCTTCCTGCTTTTGTTTAGAAGGTATATTATTTAAACATGTATTTCTTCAACTAGTTCTTCTTTCTGTATCTTGGCCTAGTCTTGGAAAGCTGTTCTTAATCTCCTGGAGATCAATTATCTTTTATATTTCCTGTGGTATTTGTATTTTTTTTAAATAATTTTTTCCCTTGATAGGGTTTCTTTTTTTAAATTTCATTATTTATTTATGTATATGAGTGCTTTATCTGCATGTACAACTTTATGCCAGAAGAGGGCGCCAGATCTCATTACAGATGGTTGTGAGCCACCATGTGGTTGCTGGGAGGTGAACTCAGGACCTCTGGAAGGGCAGGCAGTACTCTTAACCCCTGAGCCATCTCTCCAGCCCTGGTATTTGTATTTTTTTTAATGTAACGGTTTAATTCTATAGAATTCAGTATACAACACATGATTATTTGACCAGTGTCCCTTAGTTTTGTTTGGGGGTGGGGTTATTTATTTATTTATTTATTTATGGGGCACGGTCTCACTATGTAGTCCTAGCTTATCTAGAACTTGCTGGCCCCTAAATCACAGCGATCTGTGTGCCCCTGCCTCCCAAATGCTGGGATTAAAGGTGTGTGCTATCACACCTGGCCCATTATCCTTTGGTTTATTAGATCCTAAGTTCTTAGAAAGTAGAGTATGTTCTCTTTGTGTATCACTAGTGTCATTGGTGCTTGTTAAAAGACTAAATAAATAAATGAGTGAATAAATATGTAAGCAGGACTCGGTGCAGGCATTGAAAACAGGGAAAGTGGGGCTGGAGAGATGTAGAGGGTTCAGTGCCCAGAACCTAAATCATGACTTGTAAGCATCTGTAACTCCAGTCCAAAGGATTGGATGCTCCTTCTGACTTCCAGGGACCAGGCATGCAAGTGGTACACATACATTCCTGCAGACAAACAAATATACAGAATAAAATACAAATGAAAATAACAAAGTGATATGATGTCCTGGATGGTTTTTGTTGTCAACTTGACACAATTAGCAGTTACCCAGAAAAGGGAATCTCAGTTGAGGTAATACCCAGATCAGATTGGCTTTTGCCCCGTATGTGAAGAATTGTCTTTAGTTTGATTGACATGGAAAGACCCAATCCACCATGGACAGTGCCACCTCTGGGCGGATGATATATACGATAAGTACATGATCATCTCATTAGATGCTGAAAAAGCCTTTGACAAAATCCAACACCCCTTCATGATGAAGGTCTTGTAGTGACCAAGAATACAAGGACTGTACCTAAACATAATAAAGGCAATTTATAGCAAGCTGACAGTCAACATAAAATTAAATGGAGAGAAATTCAAAGCAATTCCACTAAAATCAGGAACAAGACAAGGCTGTCTACTCTCTTCATATCTATTCAATATAGTGCCCAAAGTTATAGCTAGAGTAATAAGACAACAAAAGGAAATCAAAGGGATACAAATAGGAAAAGAAGAAGTCAAACTTTTTGCTATTTGCAGACGATATGATAGTCTACACAAATGACCCCAAAGATTCTACTAGGAAACTCCTACGATTGATAAACACCTTCAGTAATATGGCGGGATGCAAGATTAATTTAAAAAAATTGATAGCTCTCCTATATACAAATGATAAATGGGCAGAGAAAGAAATCAGAGAAACATCACCCTTTACAATAGCCACAAATAATATAAAATACCTTGGGTAACTCTAACTAAGTAAGTGAAAGACCTGTATGACAAGAACTTTAAGCCTTTGAAGAGAGAAATTGAAGAAGATATCAGAAAATGGAAAGATCTCCCATGCTCATGGATAGATAGGATTAACATAGTAAAAATGGCAAACTTACCAAAAGCAATCTACAGATTCAGTGCAATACCCATCAAAATTTTAACACAATTCTTCAGAGACCTGGAAAGAACAATATTCAACTTCATATGGAAAAACAAAAATCCCAGGATAGCTAAAACAATCCTGTACAATAAAGCAACTTCTGGAGGCATCACCATCCCTGATGTCAAGCTCTACTATAGAGCTATAGTAATAAAAACAGCTTGGTATTGGCATAAAAACCAACATGTTAGGAAAAGATCTTGACCAACCCCACATCTGATAGAGGGCTAATCTCCAAAATATATAAAGAATTCAAGAAACTAAACATAAAAATATCAAATAATCCAATTAAAAAATGGGATACAGAGCTAAACAGAGAATTCTCAACAGAAAAATCTCAAATGGCCGAAAGACATTTAAGGAGTTGCTCAACATCTTTAGTCATCAGGGAAATGCAAATCAAAATGACTCTGAGATACCATCTTTCACCTGTCAGAATAGCTAAGATTAAAAACACTGATAACAACTTATGTTGGAGATGATGTGGAGTAAGGGGAATACTCCTTTACTGTTGGTGGGAGTGCAAACTTGTTCAGCCACTTTGGAAATCAGTATGGTGGTTTCTCAAAAAACTGGGAATCAATCTACCTCAATACCTAATGATAGCACTCTTGGGCATATACCCAAAGGATGCTTAATCATACCACAAGGACACTTGCTTAACTATGTTCATAGCAGCATTATTCGTAATAGCCAGAGCCTGGAAACAACCTAGATGCCCTTCAACTGAAGAATGGATAAAGAAAATGTGGTACATATACAAAATGGAGTACTACTCAGCAGTAAAAAACAATGATATCATGAGGTTCACAGGCAAATGGATAGAACTAGAAAATATCCTGAGTGAGGTAACCCAGACTCAGAAAGACAAACATGGTATGTACTCACTTATAAGTGACTACTAGATGTAAAGCAAAAGATAACCAGACTACAACCCACAGCTCCAGAGAAGCTAGCTAACAAGGAGGACCCTAAGAGGGATGCATGGATCCCCCTGGGAAGGGGAAATAGATGAGCTCTCTATGGGTAAACTGGGGATGAGGGGGCAATAGCGTATAGAGGATAGGGGATGAGAACATAAGGGAACAGGATGGTCGAGCTGGAACAGAAATGGAATGGGAGAGCAATGAAAGAGATACTATGGTAGAGAGAGACATCATGGGGATAGGGAGAAACTAGGTGCTAGGGAAGGTCCCAGGAATCCACAAGGATGACCCCACCTTAGGCTACTAGCAGTGGTGAAGAAGGTGCCTGAACTGGCTTACCCCAGCAATCAGATTGGTGAATACCCTAACTGTCATCATAGAGCCTTCATCCAGTAACTGATGGAAGCAGATGCAGAGATTCACAGCCAAGCACCAGGCTGATCTCCAGGAGTCCAGTCTAAGAGAGAGAAGAGGGATTCTATGAGCAAGGGGCATCACGATCATGATGGGGAAACCTGCAGAGACAACCAAACCAAACTAGTAGGAAATCAGGAAGTTTAGACCAACAGCTGTATAGCCTCCTTGGGACTGGAGCAGGCCCTCTATGGGAGCGAGACAGTTGTATAGCCTGATCTGCTTTAAGGGCCTCTTGGCAGTAGCATCAGGATCCATGCTTGGTGCATGCACTGGCTTTTTGGAGCCCACTATCCCTGGTGGGACACCTTTCACAGCCTTGATGCGGAGGGCAGGGCTAGGACCTGCCTCAACTGAATGTACCAGGCTCTGCTGACTCCCCATCGGAGGCCTTACATTGTAGCAGGAGAAATGGGGGGTGGAATGCTGGGGGGTGGGAGGAGGGAAGAGAGGGGATCTGTGGTTGGTATGTAAAATAAATTTAAAATTTTCTTAATTAAAAAAAGAAAGCCGGCTGATCACAAATCAGAGGAAGCAAGCCAGTAAACAACAACAGTCGTTCATGGTTTCTACTTCAGTTCCTGCTTGAGTCCCTGTCTTGAATTCCCTCAGTGATGAACTGTGACCTGGATGCCAAAGCTGGAATTAACCCCTTTGTCTCTGAGGTTTTTTTTTTTTTTTTTTTTTTTTTGGTCACGAGGTTTACGACAGCAAGAGAAGGGAAAGTAAAACCGTAGGTAAAGAAGAAAATAATTGCAATGAGAATAGAGTTAAAGTGAGTTTTATATAAAGGTAACATGTAGCTTCAGTGCAGTTTACTTCATTTTTTTTGTTACGATGGAAATTAGTTGTAGGACATCAGTAGTCCTGAGCTGCAAGAGTTCTTAACTGCACAGAAAGGCAGGAGTGTGAGGGAGAGACTATATTTGGCCAATTCAGAATGAGGAAAACAGCTAATGTGTTAGTTTAGAGAGCCCTGTTCTATACATAGAAAAACCTATATATGTCCTGACTATGATATTGTTTTATTCTATATAATTAGGAATGATTGACTATGATGATGAGGTGACTGTGTTTACACATTGTTTTCTAACTGTGTAATCATATAATAAAGACATTTTTTCTTTCTTTATGTGTGATAAAGATGAATAATACACTGGGGTAAGATTGTTTTACGAAGCATGAAATGCTTTTATAAACTGGGCTTGTTTGCCCATAGGTTAGAAGTCCTTTGTTTTTAGAATTTCTATTCTTGTAATTCAAAATTGTAGAGGTGCATAAAAGAAAAAGATTGTACTATGAAAGTCCTGTGTGTTGTAGCCTCTGTAGCTGGAATTGCCTGATTTCTGTACCCTGTAGGCATTCTCCAGAAAGTAATGATCTAAGGTGCAAGTTTTGATGATTGTGTGATTTGATATTTGATGATTTTGATGAACTGTACATATCAGTTTATGTAAATATATGTGTATATATTTATATACATATATTTGTCTTTCAGCTGTAGCAGAAGTAAAACTTCGGGATGACCAGTATACGTTGGAGCACATGCATGCTTTTGGAATGTATAATTATCTGCACTGTGATGCCTGGTATCAAGACAGTGTCTACTACATTGATAACCTTGGGAGAATTATGAACTTAACAGTGATGCTGGTAAGAAAAACATACAGAGTATAAAGACAGCTCATCCTGTTCTGTTTGTTCTTTAATCTCTTTGAATCTGATGTCTAGACAGTCAAGGTGAGCATACCTTTGGAATGTGGAAACCTGTCGTCAAGCTGTAAGGCTCCCTTTCTGCTTATATCAATTGTAGCTTTTACTCTTGTTCTTGTATTTTATAATCCTTTGTCCCCAGCCATTTCCACCTGTGTGTACACCAGGGATGGATCCTAATCCTACTGCCAGGTTAAGTTAAAGTGTATCTCTTATAAACAGCTAGTACTTCATTTGGATAAGAATTTGTCAATCTTACTGATTTTTCTCAAAAACTCAATGCTGTGTTTCATTAACTCTTTTTGTTTTGTTTTGGTTGTTGTTTGTTTGTTTCTATTTTACTGATTTTAGCCCTGAGTTTATTTCCTGCTGTCTACTCCTTTTGGGTGTGATTTTTTATTTATTATTATTACAGAGTTTTCAGCTGTGCTGTTAAATTACTAGTATCAGATTTCTCTAATTTTTTTTAATGTAGGCACTTAGTGTTATGAATTAGCCTCTTAGAACTGCTTTCATTGTGTCCCGTAAGTTTGGATATGTTGTATATTCATTTATCTATATTAACAAAATTAGAAATGAAAAGAGAAATATAGCAACAGATACCTAGGGACTCCTTATGATTATAAGGACATACTTTAAAAACCTGTACTCCACCAAATTGGAAAATCTAAAATAAATGGAAAATATGCTCAATACATACCACTTGTCAAAGGTAAATCAATACCAGATGAACAATTTAAACAGACCTATAACCCCTAGTGAAATAGAAGCAGTTATTAAAAACTCCCAACCAAAAACAGCACCAGACCAGATGGTTTTAGCACAGACTTTCTAAGAATTAATGCCAGTACGCTTCAAATTATTCCATAACATAGAAACCGAAGGAACATTGTCCAATTCATTTTAGAGGCCACAGTTATCCTGATACCCAAACTGCATAAAGACCCAACAAAGAAAGAGAATTAAAGACCAATTTTCCTTATGAGTGTAGATACAAAAATACTCAATAAAATACTTGCAAACTGAATCCAAGAGCATCAAAAAGATTATTCACAATGATCAAGTAGTCTTTATCCCAGAGATACAGGGATGGTTCAACATACATAAATTGATAAACGTACTCCACCAAATAAAGAAACTGAGAAATAAAAACCATATAATCATCTTACTAGATGCAGAAAAGGCCTTTGACAAAATCTAGCAACCCTTCATGATAGAAGTCCTGGAGAGATTATGGATACTAGGAATATACTTCAACATAAGAAAGGCAATTTACAGCATGCCCATAGCCAACATAAATTTGAACAGGGAGAAACTAAGATGCAATTCCACTAAAATCAGGAATAAGACAAGGCTGTCTGTACGCCATACATATTCAATATATACTTAGGTAGAACAATAAGACAACTGAAGGAGATCAAGGGGATGCAAAGAGGAAGGGGAAAAGGCAAAATATGTTTATTTGCAGATGATATTATACTATACAAAGTGATCCTAAAAATTCCACTAGGAAACCCCTACAGTTGATAAACATTTTCTGCAAAGTAGTTAGATAGAAAATTAACTTAAAAAAAAAATCTGTAGTCCTCCTATATTCAAATGACAAACAGACTGAGAAAGAAATCAACACCTTTCACAATAGCGTCAAGTAATATAAACTATCTTGGGGATAACTCTAATGAAGCAAGTCAAAGACTTGTATGATAACAATTTCAAGTTTTTGAAGAAAGAAATTGGATATTGGAAGATGGGAAGATCTCCCATGCTCATGGATCAATAGGATTAATATAGTAAAGATGGCCATCCTACCAAAAGCAGTCTCAAGATTCGATACAATTCACATCAAAATTCCAAAACAATTTTTCACAGATCTTGAAGGGAAAATTTTCAGCTTTATATGGAAATACAAAAAACCCAGGATAGCTAAAACAGTCCTGAATAACAAAAGACATGCAGGAGGTATCACCACCCCCAATTTCAAGTTGTACTACAGAGCTATAGTAACAAAAACAGCATGGTACTGGCACAAAACAGATACAATCAATGGAATTGAATTGAAGATCCAGACATAAATTCATACATATGGACATCTGATTTTTGATATAGAAGTCAGAAATACACACTAGGAAAAAGGAAGCATCTTCAACAAATGGTGCTGGTCAAACTGGATGGCTGCATGTAGAAGAATCCAAATGGATCCATGTTTATCATCCTGCACAAAACTCAAGTCTCAATGTATCAAAGACCTCTACATAAAACCAAATACACTGAATCTCATAGAGGAGAAAGTGAAGAATAACATTGGGACAGGAAAAGACTTTCTGAATAGAACATCATTAGCACAGGCACTTGTAGCTGAAGTTTTTTTGGTCCTCCCTGGCTCCCGTGGCCCCTCGGTCCCAGGTAAACACACAGAGGCTTATATTAATTAAGACTGTACGGCCATTAGCTAGCTCCTACACTTAAACTCAGCCTGTTTTTGTTAATCTATAAATTGTCACATTTTCCATGGCTTTACCTGTGTGTCATTACATCCTGTTCCCTGGATGGTGGGCTGGTGTCTGTTGACTCAGCTTTCCCCTTATCAGAATTCTCCTTGTCTGCTTATCCCACCTATACTTCCTGCCTGGCTACTGGCCAATCAGCTTTTTATTTGTCAACCAATCAGAGCAACACATTCACAGAATACAGAACATCCCACAGCAGGCACTAAGATCCACAATTAATATATGGGACCTCATAAAACTGAAAAGCTTCTGCTCTGTAAAGGACACTATCCTTTAGAACAAAGTGGCAGCATAGAGAATGGGAAAGGATTTTTCCCAGCTGCACACCTGATAGAGTGCTATGTTGAGTAGTTTTATGTCAAATTAACACAGCTAAAGTCATCAGGAACCCTCAGTTAAGAAAATGCCTCCATAGGATCGAGCTGTAGGCAAGCATGTAGGGCATTTTCCTAATTAATGATTGATGGGGGATGGCCCTGCCCATTGTGTGTGATATCATCCCTGGGCTGGTGGACCTGGGTTCTTTAAGAAACCAGACTGAGCAAGCCAGTAAGCAACACTTCTTTTAGGCCTCTGCATCAGCTCCTGCCTTCAGGCTCCTGCCCCGCTTGAGTTCCTGTCCTGATTTCCTTTGATGATAAACTGTGATGTGGAAGCATAAGCCAAATAAACCCTTTCCTCCCCCTGTTATGGTGTTTCATCACAGCAGTAGTAACCCAACTAGAAGTAATATTTGAAATACATAAAGAACTCAAAAAAACTAGGTATCAAGAAAACTGATAACCCAATTGTAAATGGGGATACAGATCTAAATAGAATTCTTAAAAGTGGAAACTCAAATGGCTGAGAAACACTTAAAAAAATGTTCAACATCCTTCATCATCAGGGAAGTGCAAATCAAAACTACTTTGAGATTTTATCTTACACCCATCAGAATGGCCAAGTGACAGTTCATGCTAATAAGGACATGGAATAAAGGAAACATTCATCCATTGCTGGTTAGAGTACAAACTTCTACAGCCAGTATGTAAATCAGTGTGTCAGTTCCTCAGAAAGATGGCAATCTATCCACCTTAAGATCCAGCTACACCACTCTTGGACATATACCCAAAGGATGCTTCATCCTCCCTCACACTTGCTCAACCACATTCATTGCTGCTCTGTTCATAATAGCCAGAAACTGGAAACAATCTAGATGTCCTTCAACAGAATGGATAAAGAAAATGGTACATTTATAAAATGGTGCATTATTCAGCTGTTTAAAAAAAAGAAAGAAGGAAAGAAATCATTATTTTTGCATGTAAATGGATGGAACTAGAAAAAATTCGTCCTGCGTGAGGTATACCACACTGAGAAAGACAAATGTGGTATGTATTTGCTTATGTCCGATAGTAGCTGTGAAGACAGTGATAACCAAGCTACAATCCATAGAGCCACAGAAGTTAGTTTTAGAATAATGGACTAAGAGGGACAGATAGATTTCCTTAGGAATGGGAACTAGATCACATAGTTATGTATAGATGGTGGAGGATGGAATAGGAAGATCAAGTGGGGAGGGAGACGGGCACAAGCGAGGAAATATGGGGAGAGACAGCTAAAATTCAGGGTCACTTAAAGGGCAGCACAGAAACCTAATACAGTAGATGCTTCTTAAAATATATACATATATGGAGGTGATCTAACTAAAAACACCAAATAATGGGGGAGAGAAAGCTCCAACTAGCTTTATCTTTTCACCAAATGAAACTCCTAGTACTGGAATTAGGTTACATCTAATTGAGATATTGGCCAAAGGGAATCCCCAAACAACCCAGACTGTTGCCAAGACCATAGGTTGCTATCTACATATTGACAAAAAGTCCCCACTGCTGAAGACAATACCTACACAACTCTTTGAACACGGAGAAGTCGAGCTGGTACCCAATTATAGTCTTCACCCAGTGTGCTAATGTCTTTTGTACAGGAAGATACTCTGCACTCTGCCAAAGAGAAACATAAACATCAGTCTAGCCACAAACGTTGATCTACAATGATGTTCTGCCTGTTATGCTAGTACAGTGATGACACAAAGCTTGTGGGAGTAGCCACCTAATACCTAATTTGACTTAAAGCCCCCTCACAAGGTTGAACCCATACCTGATACTGCTTGGGTGACCGAGAACCTGAGACTGGTTAGTCATAGCGCAGGGGCATAGGGTAAAACCAAATACTACTATCCTTAAAAAAATAAATATGTAGCCATAAAATGACTCCTAATGACATTCCACTATCCTCATAAATCAGTGCCTTGTTCAACCATCATCAGAGAAGCTTCCCCCTATAGCAGATGGGAACAAATACAGAGACCCACAGCTGGACATTATGCAGAGAGACCTGGGAATGTAGAGCCCTAAAAGGGATGTCTCCATCAAATCCTTCCCCTCAGTGCTCAGG